ACTATAACATGTTTCACACATGTTGAGGACAAATACATATTTTGAATATTTTTTGCCAAACTGTGTCTGATATGGATTCCTCCAAGTCCTAATCAAAGCAGTCTTAAGTTAAAAAAAAACAACTTTAACTTATTTTCTGTCTTACTGAGTAATATGTACCCGGGATTTGTGTGGGGCTAACATGGTCAAAAGAGTAGGAATACAGGATGCAATGTTCTTGAAGGAAAGAAAAGGTAAGTTTAGAAGGCACTTGAAGGTTACATTTTAACAATGAAATAATGACAGCACTTGCTACACAAAGTACTGTTAAAATTATGAGCCAAATTCCCCAGGGCCACATTTTAAATGCAAGAAAATGTGGAAACGAGCCAATAAATCCCAGCAAAGGGAGACTTCCACCCAGTAACTCTGTGTGAATTCCATGTACTTGAATTATTTTGATAATATGAGACTAAAACTTGTTTTGGTGGTTGCAGCTCACTATGATCTCAAGAGGTTGTTTAATTGGAAGGTTGTTGATTTAATTCATAGCTTCCCCGGTTTCTTCATCAAAGTGTCAGTGGGTGAGATACTGAACTATTTATTGCTCCTTATGTGTTTCTCAATTGGAAGCCACTTTCAGTAAAAACATCAGCTTAATAAATGCATTTTAAAGTAATATATTATGGAAGTATGGAGAAGATGTTTCTCTTGTAAATATTTCTATTTAGTTAATTTTAAAAATGCAAATGTATTTATGTGTACTTTGTCAATGCATCCCATAAAGTGAGGAGATYTGTGAAATGTATTTGGCCTATAACAAGTGAGAAACAACAGAGTGGCAGCTAGACACCCAGGAAGCAGTTGCTCAAGGACACCATGATACTCTATGTGGGTTTGGCAGGGAGTTGAACCTGTGACCTTATATCTGATCATAGTGTCTTATCACATTGCATCACAKTGCAAAAATTATATTGTATCATATAATGTATTCCATCAAATATATCAACTCATATTTGGTCATATTGCATTGTTTCTTTTACAATATTACATATCCTATTATATTGCATTGTATCACATCTTATTTTGCATTGTGTTGTAATATATATCTACACATCTTGTCATAATCAACCACGTTTTTGTGGTTGTATTGTACTGTAAAGCCAATGAGACCTTTTACCTGAACTAAGTTTTCTGYTGGGGTCATCCCTATGTTCCTTGGTACCCATRGTCCCTTCWACACAYGWATTGCCTTCTAGCAGTTCCCATCGATTCAGGGTTGRCCAAATGTGTGTCCATTTCAAATTCTAACCTCATTTTTGGATACATCTCCTTGGTGGTTCCAGGCAGATCAAGCAGAGTTTTGTGTGCAAGTGATTTTGACATCAGCAGCAGTAACTGCTGCCTCRTGGATTGACTAAGCCAAAGTGGTACATGCAAACTCCTCCCAGAAAGAGGCACCAAACTTTTTATCTGTTTAGGAGACAAGCACATATAGGTAGAGCTTGACTGAGCAGTCCTGACAAAAGTGGCAGCCCGTGCGATAACAAACGCACTTAAAAACAGTGTCTCAATAAATAAAGGAACCACCACTGGACAATAAAACCGCAATGGTCAAAACTGCCTGCTTGACRGTCCACCCACAGAGTGAAGGACATACGTTGGAGCATACACTTGAATAGAACTGAACATTAAGTTAGACTTTACAATGGACAWGGGGCTTTTGCTCCATGGTACCCATCAAAAACCATCATCATGGTACCCATGGTACCCTGGTACAATGCATGCACTGTAATTCACTTGTTTTTCATTTGYGRCAAAATACATTTGAAGWGGGAGTCAGGCATCTTTCATGRCTTTGATTATTAACCCAGGTTGGTACCGATGAACATGGGTAYGCATGCCTTTCTTTTTGTTATTTTAAATATATTTTCTAAAACAAATACAAAGTGTATAATAAYCAAATCAAAGCTATTTTCTGTCCAGGCTAAAGAACGACTTTTCAAAGAGGAGACAATGCTAAAAGCAAAATAAATTTTACAGAAACATTRAAGTCGTTTACCATGGTAAACATTTTTTTTAGCATGTCACAATTCAACAAAGCACAYCTGCTGCCAGGATATTTTTCAAAACCAGAACAATCCCCCTAATTCTGCATCTTAAATATATGCAGAACAACAAAATATCTAGAAAAGCCTTTTTTTCAGCTTTGACTTCCAGTGATTTTTGCGTAGGTGTGGGAGGAGAGTAGAAAGTGCCACATGAAGAGAAAAAAGCCTTCTGAGAGACCTCAGCTGGTTCAYGCTATTACCTTGAAGATGCCCTCTGAAAAGCTATGTACAGAGTGTTCAGCAAATAAAAGCAAAACTATGACAGACAAGAAGACTCGGCTTAAAGCTTCTAATTCATTCTGAACTCACGCAGGGAGAGACGGAGACGCACACGCTGARCACAAACAATGGTGCTGCAGCGTATTTCATCAAAGGCTGTTGACAACATTTGCATTAATGCCGTGGGCAACAATCACTTTTTTTGGATTTTCCCCTGGAGCTTTTAATTGTTTATGTCAATGTAATGTGTCTATTTACTTACACTCCTGAGCTACATKTCATGTACAACATCCATTGTGTTTGTACACGTTGAGTATTTGAGAAGACGTTAGGAGTTTGGACAGTGTTAATCAGAGATCAGTGCACTTMTGGAGTGTGATGTGCACCAACACAACCCTGGCTCTGATTGTTAAAATGAGTGGATGTCTTGGGCTGAAGTGGTCACTTAATATTTTAGTTTGAACTTTGTGGAATGAAACTATCAATCAGTCCTTTTTTTTTTCTTTTAGTAATTTAGATTTTACTTTCCTAGGAAAACAGTTTTCTTTAGAATGACTAATGTTGTTAATGTTTACTGAATTTCCTGAAAATGTTTGTTTTATTTAGTCTAATTTAATGTAGTTAATTTGTCATTTTTTAATTAGCAGTTGTGTTTCATTTATACCCAGCTTTAATTTGTGGATTATTGTTTTCTCCTTAGGTGGTGTACAAGAACAATGACTTTAAGTTGGAGCTCTCCCGGCTGGCTATCGAGCGTGACCCTAAAATCACGCCAAATGGCGATCTGGTGTTCCGCTGCGAGGATGTGGCAGCTCTGGATCCCGTAACGTTCGAAACCCCAGAGTCCTATATTTCTTTGCCCAAGTGGAACACCAAGAAGACGGGTTCTATCTCTTTCGACTTCCGCACCACGGAGCCCAGTGGCCTGCTGCTGTTCAGCCATGGGCGCCCCCAGGGTCCAAAGGAGCAGAAGCCTGTTAGGGAGCTGAAGACTGATTACTTCGCCATGGAGCTTCTGGATGGATATTTATACCTGCTGATCGATATGGGCTCTGGAAAAACAAAGCTCAAAGCGAGCAACAAGAAGGTCAATGACGGGGAATGGTGCCATGTTGATTTCCAGAGGGAAGGAAGGAAAGGTGAGGTGGGGGAATGGGGGTGTGTTTGTGTCATTAAATGTGTCACACTACAATCAATTTAGAATCAAACACTTTATTACTCAGCTGAATAACTACAGTCATAGGAATATACTGTACTGTATATTTTCCCCATTCTACACCTCAGAATGCTGTAAATGGTTAAAAGTATTCAAATCTAACAACAGAGAGCAGATTCCAGCATGTCTTTATTTATTTATAATAAAAAATGAAGCCAAAAAGGAAAAAGTAGTGCATTTAAAACTAAGTCCAAGTGTGGACTTAGACTGAACCATTGGAACATCCTGATTCTTAAATTGCTTCAGCCTTTGGACACCAGTGTTTGTCTAGTTGTGTACTGACCAAATTTGGTATGAGCTTAAGATGTTGAAAAGATGGCTCAAGATAATTTTGGTATTGACTTGATCAACGTGCCCAGGTCCTTCGGCCCAAATCATTAACCTTTCACCACCGTGCCTAATGTGTGGGGTGTTTGAGTTGATATATAGTTTGTAATTCACCAATCATTGTGCTGTGCATTATGGCTAAACATATCTGTTTTGGTCCCATCCATTTAAAACAAGTCTTGTTTTTTTTTAATGGAACAAAATGGCCCCATTTACTCAAGCCTGTCATAATTCACAAATCTGCACATGATATATTAAAACTAATTGCGCATTTTATGACAACATGGGTTGATGTTTTCATTTTGCTTTAATGTCATCGATTCATTAATTATTTAATCAATATATCAATGTATTGTTAAACCCGTATGTTCTAGGGCAACTGACAAAACTGTTATAGAGCAGCTCACCGCAAAGTTTAGACCTTACTGTTGTATACTTTAGCATATAGAGAACAAAAAATACCATTTTATTGGATTAGAATTGCACAGTGTGACAGATTTGTCACTCTCCATGACTAAATTGATTTTGACATGGTCTAGGGCGTTTTAAAAATTGAGTTAATGTTACCCACTTCAATAACAATGCAACATGCGACACTTCCTGGTGTATATTTATTTTTTAAAGCTGTGTGAAGTCTTGAAATGCCTTCACCTGTAAGCGGGCTCAAACAGGAGCATAAATACAGTATGTGGTGTTGGATGAATGATCTGTAGGTGAGCACCTTGTGGACATGATATCTCCTCTTAATGGTGTCCTATAATGAGCAAGTGTGTGAATGAGCCTTGGTGTGTGTGTGTGTGTGTGTGTGTGTGTGTGTGTGTGTGTGTGTG